CCACCCCTCTCCCACACACACACACACACACACACACACACACACACACACAGCTGCAACGTTTTATGTATTTTAAGTTCAATGATGACAGCAGCATTACTTGCAAAAATGGAAAATACTGCAAGTGTACTAAAGTACACTCACACACTGAGTGTGTGTGACTAAATAAATCAATAAAATACTAAAGTAAATACTAGGTTACTGCAGCTGAACACACACACGCACGCACACAACAGCAGCTAATGAGGGCTCACACGAGCCTGTCTAGTACATAAAAAGTAAAGAAATAATCAAAAAAGTCTGAATTATGGACATTTTATCTATTTGTAAGTACAAAAGTGCATGTAAATAACTGAAGGAGAGTCTTTGTTTCATTAACATAAATACTGCGAGAGATTGAAGAAACTGGTGATAACTGGCAATTTTATATTAGTGGAATCAACTAATTAAAAAAAAAAGTTTTGCTTCTGAATATTTATCACTATCAGATTATTCCTGATACACGTCACTTAAAGACCACTAATGCACATTTATTCATTTTATAATAAACAATTTATATAAATAAATAAGTATATTTACTTATATATCAACATAAATTAATATAAATAAATATACATATTGCATTAATATAAATAATTATATAAATATAAATAAATTATATAGTCAGAGCAGCAAAGCTTATTTTCATGGCAAACTCAAAATAGTAGAATTTATAATAATAATAATAAAATTTCAATAAAAAAATAAAGAACTGATATACAATAATTCAACAATATTTCCTTACAATAATATAAAATATGTATAAATTATATAAGCTTTTTTAGCTTGCCATTTGATCGAAAATATATATATATATATAAAAATAAAAAATCCTGGAGAAGTTTAATTTTTGTTTTTATATCCATTAATTACATTTCTGAATAGATATGTTGCCTAATATCATTTAATATGATTTATAATATAATATCATAAAATATGATTTATAGTCACACACTGGTTATTCTTCACGGTTCAATAAATACACACATGTATTAAGTCCACCAATAAACGCTCATGACACAAATGTGTATCAGGAACATTACAGCACTGACAAAGATGTTGGAGAATTTAAAAATGTAAACGGTGTAAGATGATGTAGAATTCACCTTTCTAAGACTTAACTAATAATAATAATGAATAAACTATGCCATATTTATTAATGAGTTGGACTCACTCTGGGGAAGGCTGAACCCTGAGCTGCTGGCATTGGTGGAGCCTCCAGCGGTCGCCGTGGAAACCACAGAGGAAGGCAGATTCAGCAGGTTTGGAAACTGGAACGGGAGAGAGACGGGAACCAGACCTCCCAACATCCCGAAACCCAGCGGCAGAGATGGAGCGGCCGACCCGAGCAGAGCGCTGGAGGACGACACCTGCAGATGAGGAAGAAAACATCAGCATCATCATCACCACCAGCATAATGGGAAAGCCAAAAGCACACACAGCAGACATTTATAAAGGCCTCCTCAAAAAAAATAAAAATAAAAAACTTTTGTTTTAAAACAACACATTCCTAAGGAGTCTGATGGTTTTAATTTTTGTAAAAAATTTGCCAACTAATAAAATAAGTGACAAAACTACATTTTAGTAATGACTCGTATTTTGAAGAATACTTAAGAGTTCAAGTAAATCATTACTAACTAAAACAATAATAATTCTAGGACTCTTCTACGAAAAAATTAATAAATAAATCAAAATTAAATAAAATGTAAAATAATTAATTAAAAATATCTTCAATATTAATGTAATGTTTATTCATTTTTAATTTCATTATTATTTACGTCTATCAAACTCGAGGCCTGTTTTTAGCACCAAATTTCTTGGTAAATGTAAACGTGTCTCTTTCTC